GAGCTGGGCCTGTCCTGAGCCCTACTCGCCTTGCAGAAGGGCTCTGCATTGGGTTGCCTGCAGTATGAGCCCATTGCTGGCTGTCATTTCATTGCTGGGGGGGAAACTCCCCTTATAGGCCTGGCAGGGGGAGCCTAGGGAACAAAAAACCCACCAGCTAGCTTCTTCTCTAACCCAGTGACCACCCTACCCAGGGCACCAGAAACCAGGCCCGGAGGGAGAGTCCTGCTGCCAGCTGCTGCCTCCTTCCCCTTTAGCTGCCCGTGTTGCCACCATGGCTTCCTGAGCCAGCATCCGCCTCCCGTGCCCTGCTGCTGGGGGTGCTGTAGCCGCAGCTGGTGCCAGGGCAGGGCGGAGCGATGGCTGGAGACGAGGAATGCCTATGCCCCCAGCCAGCTGTTCAGAAAGCCAGAGGGAAGCCTCCAGCCAGGGCTCTGCCTGTGGAACGGGTCAGTCTGTCCTGAGTGCGCCCTGGGTTATTGCAGCCAGACATGGCCCATCGGTACCACGAGGGAGCCCTGACCTCCCCCCCAGGTTTGCTGTTTCTTGGGTGTCCTCCTCTCTGGGCCTGGGGGCTCCAAGCCCAGCCCCATCGGCTCTTGTCTCACATGCAGCAGGTCCTGCCGCGGCAATTGGCTGAGGAGACTGCTGGCCAGCGGGCCTCTCCTCTGCAACCCCTCTCTGCTGACCAGAGAGGGGGAGTTGGCTAAAGGGGGGCAAGCAGATTTCTGGGGACTTGCTTCCCCTAGGCTGATTAACCCTGTCTGCATCCACTGCCTCGCCCTCCTGCCGGAGCGAGGCCAGCGTGTGGGGCTGAGCGTGGCTGGTGCTTGCTAGCCCCATGGGACTGGGGTTTTCACCCACATCCTGCGGTCTCAGGTCAGTGCTCGGCTCCCTGGGGGCAGATCCTGCTTAATTTTACTCTGTTCCTGCTGTTTTCTGCTCTTCCCCCACTGCTGTCCTGAGGGGCACGAGCCCTTGTGGCTGCTGATTGCTGGGTGCAGGCAGGAGCAGCGCAGCTGTGAGCCCTTAGATTAACCCATACCCTAGGGCGTGCCCCCATCTGTCTTCAATGGTCGCCCCGCCTTTGCTGGGCCGCGTTCTCAGCACCGTGGGCCCCACGCAGGCAGAGGCTGAGCTCCCTGCAGGGCCATCGCTTATCGTACTGTGCAGGCCGTGGCGCCCCCCCCAACACACCCAGCTGCTGGGGGCCCTTCCCCCCACACCAAGTGGGCCAGCTCCACATGCTGCATTCGGTAGAACAGCATCCGCCGGCAGGCCCTGAGCGCACGGGTGTGTCTAGGCCTGGCCCTGGGCAGCGCCTTCCCCTTCCTGGGCTGGGCGAGACCCCACCATCGGCTGGGCCAGCCCTCAGGCCTGCATTGCTGGAGACCCAGTGACCCGCTGCAGTGGGGTGTTCATGGGGGGAGCTGCCAGGGGAGGGGGCAGGGCTAGCCTGGCTCCTGCCCCTATTCTGGGCATGCTGCCTGTTGCATTAGCCTCATGGCAGCCAGGTGCAGCTCGGCTCCGGCCAGGCGCCCGGGCAATGGGGCTGGGTGAGCAGCCCCCTCAGCCACTTCCTGGGGCCCAGGAGCTGTGGGCGAGAGCAGCCTCTAGGGCTGTTGCGCCGAACCCTGCTCCGTCCTCAGGTCTCGCATTCCTCCCACTGCGGGCACCGGCCAGGGCCTGGGACCGCGAGGAATCCCCTGGCCTGGAGCCCAGGGTTTGGAAATAGCAGCCCGGGGGCGGGGAAGAGAGCAGGACAGTCTGTATCTCCTCTCGAGGCTCACCGCCCCTGGCAGGACACGCTGCACCCGGGCCCCTCCCCTGGAGCACAGTGCCCCTCGCCCACTAGCGCTGGCATCTCACCCTGGCCCCCGTCATGCCCTCAGCCCTGCTCCCCACTCCTCTGAACGGGGCAACAGCACCATCCCTTCCCTCCTGCCCCCACGAATGCTGGGGCGTGGGGTGCATGCCCCGCCCTGCCCTCAGTACCACAGGGGACAGGAGCCCCCTAAGGGCTGCAGGGCGTTTCCTGTGCCTCAACCCCTGCCCTGCCATTTGATGGGGTTTGGCCACGTGGGGGAAGCCCCCACCCCTATTCCTCACCTGCAACTGGGGGCCCGTTTCTAAGAGAGCCGCTCAAGGCGGAGATGAAGGGAGGCCCCTGGGGCCGGCTGCTCAATCCACCTTTCCTCGCCCCTTGGCGAGCTGGGCACAGCCGGGGCAGGCTGGGGACGGGTCGCTGCAGCCTGGGGCGGAGGAGGGCTTGGGGGACCCTGCACACTGTGAGGGGGATGGACAAGACCTGGGGCAACCTTGGCCAGCACCTCAGAGCCCCTGTGGGCTAACCAGTGGTGGGGCCGGGGCCCCACCTCGCAGCCTGAGCTCCGGGGAGAGGAAGGGCCTGAGCTGGGGGAAGGGGGAGGCAGGCGGGTGGCATGGAGCTAAGGAGGCTGTAAATGCAGGGGCAGCTGGGGGGGCTTTGCTCACCCTCGCCCGGGCATGCCTCGCCGGCTAGCTTACCCTGCCCGCCCTATGGCACCCGGCTGCCCGTGCACCTACAGCCCTGAGCGGGGCCCCAGACTCCAGCCCTGACCTTTGTGCGGGGAGACAGCAAGGAGCCTGGCCTTTCCTCTGCGCCGAGGCGTGGCCACCGTCCTGGCATCCTCCCTGGAATACTGGCAGCCCAGAGCGCTCCGTGCCAACTTCTGCCTGGGGCCCGCGGTTCCCCTGCTCGGGGGCGGTGTGGGCTGGGTGCCAGGGGACATACAGACGAGGTGGGGGAAGGGGGGCAGCGGTGGGCTCCTGCACGCCAGCTCTGCCCCTGCAGGTGCCCCTGAAACTGCCCAGGGCAGAGTCAGCAGGAAAAGGGGCAGACGGGGGAGCTGCCTGCTCCCCATCCCAGCCTGGACCAGGGCCCCAGCCACCGCTGGTGCCGCACTGCCCTCTCCTGGTCAGCCCCAGCCTCCATTCCCGGCTGCCTGCACCGGGCTCCCCGGCTGCAGCCCCTCGCCCTCGGCTGGGCCCAGGGACCGCGGCTGCCCTGGCAGCAGGACAGAGCAAGGCCAGGCCCGAGTGCGAGGGGCTGTTGGCCCCGGGGAGGGACAAGCAGCTCTGCATGGAGGGATCAGGCCCGTGCATGCTGCTGCGCGCTCGCTAGGTGACAGCAGAGACCGGGACTGGTGGAGCCTCTTCCGGGACTGGTGCAGCCGGGATGGGCAAAGGGCCCTTGGGCACAGTGCTGCCCCACACCCAGTGGGGCCAGGGCCCCGGCCTGGGTCGGGGGGACCTGCCCCGAGGGGCTCACAGCCCAGCCAGCCAGGGGGTCAGATCACAGCGGGAGCACAAAGGCTGCAGGGCAGGAATGGGGGGGAAATGGCTCCTGGGGACTCACCCCAGGGAGTACTGGGCAGCTGGGACCCAGACCCAGTGCAGACAGCGCTGGGCAAAGCCTGGGTTGCTGAGTGGAGCTCCCAGGGGTTGGCTCCCTGGAGCAGGGGAGTCCTCGCTCGCTTGGATTTTTAAATTTTGGGGGGGCTTGAGGGCCTCACGCTGCCTGCCCCTTCGAGCATCGGCCTCCCTCCTGGCAGAGCGGGCAGGCAGCCAATCAGCTCGTGGCCACGCGGCTGGGGTCCATGGGGCAGGAGCAGAGCTCCCACAGGCAGGCGCCCCCGAGGGGTAGCTGCAGTGCTTGGGGGCCACCGGTGCCCTGTGGAGCCCCCCAAGTGGTGAGAAAGCCCCAAAGTGGGTCAGAGCCCCTGTGCTCGGCCCCAGGGAGGCGCTGCGGGGGTGCTGGCCATTCATCCAGGGCACGTGGCCATGAGCGCGTTGTGGGGCAAACCCCTGTGCAGGATGCCTGGATTGTTGGGGGGCGCTGGGTGCATGTACCTGGCAGGGGCTGGGTGCATGGAGACGGGCTGCCCGGCAGGCACTGGGTGCTAGCAGGACTTGCCTACCGGGGCTGTGTGGGGCTCCGGGAAATTGGAGCCACTTAGCTCCTCACTGCACCTTATGTGGGAGCAGAGACTGATGAATCTGCCCTGTGCAAGCCCACCGAGCTGGGGGGAGGTGGCTCGGCCACCAAGCCCGTGCCCCAGGAGCTGAGGCAGGGGAGCTGGAGGAAAGAGCCAGCCCCAGGGAGGATGGGGAGGTGGGTGCCCGGGTTTGTTCCTTCTGCCCTAGGTCCCAGCTCCAGTACAGTGCAGCCACGCGCAGGGCTGGGCATGGGTCAGGCCATGTACCACCCGAGTCAGCTACGCCGGCTGAGATGGGGGCACCACTTGTGCTGCCATGTGCACATCCTCAGAGCCACGGGGCATTTCCTGGGTGCATTCCAGGGGAAGGGGGTGAACCGGTGCCCACCTGGCAGAGCAGCAAACCGTACTGAGCTCCCCTGGGTGGCTCCTGAGCCCAGCAGCACCATGCCGACCAGGTGGGATTGTGATGCTGGGCTGTTGTCATGGCCCTGGCAGGGAGTCAGGTGCTCGGCCCTCCAGGCTAGGAGCTGCCTGGCCCAGCCCCGCCACGCGGGCACTGGGGGCTACGAGTCAATGGCCGTCTGCTCTGCCATCGCTCCCAGGAGCTCGCCGCACTGGGGAACGCACCGCCCGTCCTATGCACCGCGGGGGCCGAGCCCAGCTGTGCCGGCCGGAACTGCAGCCCCCATGGGGCCTCAGCCCTCAGCGGCTGGGGGAGCCCCTGCAACCTGCTCACTTCAAAGCCAGAGTCAGCAGGTCACTGGGGCCTGGGACACCTGCTCCTCCCCGTCCCATTGCACTGGCAGCCCCCCCCTTGCCCTGCCCAAACCGCTCGCATGGAGCCCGGGCTTGCGTCTGGCGGGGAGAGGCAGGCAGGGGGCCCTGCTGGGGTGGCCGTAGCCCTGGGGCAGAGGCCGGTTGCACCAGCCCTAGCTAGGCTCTGTGCCTGCCTGGGTGAGCGTGTGGGGCCCCTGTGGGGCACGGGGCCCATGGGAAGCCCCTGGGGGAGGAGCTATAATATTTTTAAAGAGAGAAACTTTAATCCTTTATTTCAAAACCATGAAGCAACCACGGGGCAAGCGGCAGCACCCGGCAGCGCGGCCGCCAAGCCCAGCGCCGGGCGCGGCCGCAGCTGGGAGCGCCAGGCCCTGGCTGCTGCCCCACAGGCTGCCCTGAGCTGGAGCCCACTGGCACCACCTGCTGGGCCAGACACCTGCTGGGCCAGGCACCCGCTGGCAGGAGCTCCCGGTTCGGTCCCTGCCTGGCGGCCTGATGCCAAGGTGGGAAGGCAGGCAGACCGTGGGCTGCTCCAGTTTCCCCTGCAATCGGCACCTGGAGCGTCAGTGGAAATCTGGTGGCACGGCCACCTCCTGGTGCCACCTGCCCCTTGCCCTCACCAGGGCTCTCCCCGTGTCCAGCACGTTGGCACAGAACAGTGAGTCACTGCGGCCCAGTGGACCTCCCCCCGGCCCAAGTGGACCAGTACATTATTTGCTAATTCAGAAACAAGAGGCAAAGCTTGGGTCTGCTGCTGGGTGGGGCGGGGCCAGGCCGTGGGGCCCTTCCATGCCCCACACCAGGACGGGGGGGCATCCCTGTGCCGTAGCCCCCAAATGGAGCTTCCCGGGTTCGGAGCTGAAGCAGCCTCTGCCCTGCCAGGCCCTGTGCTCCTGCCGGCAGCTGCTCTGCCCAACTCCAGAAGAAGCTGCTGCAGATTTCGGTTTGCAGTTTGAATTGTGGGGATCTAGGGGTGACCCCCAGGGCTTTTCCAAGGTGTTTGTCTCCCATAGAGGCCACAGGGGCTCGGTCTCCTCCTGCAGCCGCTGCCTGGTCCAGCTCTGTGGGGCAGTGACCCCAGCAAGCTCCTGCTGGTAACGGGTGCTCCTGTCCCCATCACTGACAGTGGGGGGCTCCCCTCCCCCCCAGTGACCCAACCTATCCCGTCTGGCTCTCCCGGGACCGAGGCGAAGCTGCTCCTGCTCCCAGGGAGGCCACCCCTCCAGGGGCCCGTCCCTCCCGAGTCCGGGGCAGGCTCGGAAATGTGCCCAGCAGGCCCACGGCGAGTCCTGCGTGCTGCTCTCCAAGGCAGCGGGCAGAGGGGGCGCGGGCTGCCAGCTCAGCACACCAGCTCCTGGGCAATCTCCTGCAGGGCTGGGAACGGCTTCCGCGCCCCGGGCAGCTCCGTGTCCCGCCCCTCCAGGCCCCCCAGCTGCCGGCAGGGGCAGGGCATTGTGTAGGAGGCCACCAGCACCAGCTCCTTCTCCTCCTCGGGGCCACTGCTGCCCTCGCTCGCCGGGGCCTGCTCCATCTCAGCCCGCACCGGGGACACCAGCTCCACCGCCGGGGCCGGGGCTGGGGCCGGGGCCAGCCAGGGGTGCTGGAGGCACTGCTCGGCCTTGGCCCGCTTCCTGCGGGCAGGAGGGAGGGGATTAGTGCTCTCAGCCTAGGAGTCCTTGGCCCTACCCCTGCGACTGCCCCCGGCCCGCATCGCTGCCCCGGGGCTGCCCTGCCTTCCCGTAGCTCCGAGAGCCCAGCCTTCCTCCCGTACCGTGCTCGCATCAGGGGTGACAGCCAAGCAACGAGCCCCCTCCCCAGGGACACCAGCGAGGCCAGCTCCAGGGCTGATCTCCCCAGGTGCCGGGAGCGCGTACTTGGCAGGAGGCTCTGACCCGGGTGCCACATGCCTGAGGCTGCGTGGCAAGGTGTGACAAAGTGGGACTGTTCTTAATGTTTCCTCTGAATATTTTGGGGGTGCCTCAGTTTCCCCTATGCAGTTCTTAAGTATCTAGGGGGTGGGGTAAGGGTGTATGATCATTGCAGAGCCCTAGAGGGCAGGTGTGTGCAGGGGTCTGGACACAGAGAATGGCCAACACCCTGTTTCCTGGCAACTGATGGCCTGGGCCCTTCCCCCCTGCAAGGTAAGAGCTAAAGGGCTGGAGAACAAAGGAATCAGGTGACCTCCTGGCCCGGGAAAGGAACAAAGCCCAGAGGAGGAGGGGCTGGAGGGAGTTTCAGTTTGGGGCTGGCTGGGACATGGAGTGAAGGGCAGACGTGGTTGTCTGGCTCACTACCCCCCAGAATGGACCCAGCTGAGGGGTCCGGTTCTCTGCACCTACAAGCTCTGAGTTAGACCATGTTCCTGTCGTCTAATAAACCTTCTGTTTTACTGGCTGGCTGAGAGTCCCGTCTGACTGCGGAGTTGGGGGGCAGGACCCTCTGGCTTCCCCAGGACCCCGCCTGGGCGGACTCGCTGTGGGAAGCGCACGGAGGGGCAGAGGAGGCTGAATGCTCCGAGGTCGGACCCAGGAAGGGGGAAGCCGGGTGAGCTGTGTGTCCTGCAGACAGGCTGCTCCCAGAGAGGAGACTTCCCCAGAGTCCTGCCTGGATTCATAGGGAGCAGTTCCAGAGCATCGCCCGGGGACGCCGTGACACAAGGCCAGGGGGCAGCGGCAGGTACCTGGGGTTCTTGACGAGCAGGGAGCGGATGAAGTCGATGGCCTGGGCAGAGATGCCCTGGAAGACGTCGGGCGGGAACTGCACGTTCACCTGCGAGATGTTCAGGAAGGTCTCCTGCTTGGTGTCACCCAGGAACGGCGACTCGCCCGTCAACATGACGTAGGTCAGCACCCCGACACTCCTGGGGAGAGGCCCTGGGGTCAGAGCCCGCAGGGAGCCCAGCGGGCCAGGGCCTGGCTCCCCCCGGCGCTAGCCGCCTGGTCTGTGTGTGACGGGAGGAGACACGGCAGCCGACAGGGTGGCACAGCCCCGCAGCCAAGGCCAGACCCATGAGACTCGCTGGCTGTGCTCACCTCCCTCCCGGCCCCTCCCCAGGCTGAGCCCCCTGTCACCCCCACGCCTCTGCTGAGAGTCCTTCCCGGAGCTGGGGGGGCCGATGGAGGGGACCTAGCCCTGTGCACCCCCCACACCCCACCAGCAGGCCCCAACTGCAGTATTGGTCATGCCCCAAGTGGGCACTGCGCCCCCCCACTGGGTGAGGGGCCGAGGACCCTGGGGCGGGGCAGAGCGCCTTCTGGGGGGAGAGTATCTGCAGGGGCGGGGGAGATTCGCGCCCTCTCCCGGGGTGCCCCGTGCCAGGACAAGCAGGAACTCAGCTCTGCCGACGAGGCACCGCAAGCAAACGCTGCAGCTACCTGGTGACCTGTGGCGGGGGGAACATCACCAGCTGCCTCTTAGTGCCGGACCCCCATGCGCCGTTACCCTGCTCCCACCCCACAGGAGAAAGGACAGACCCGCCACCCTGACCCACAACAGGCCAGAGCTGACGCATGCCCCCAGGAGAGGGCAAAGGGACCCCAGAAACCTACCACATGTCGGTGGCTGTGCTGATGGGCTCGTAGCTCAGGACCTCGGGGGCTGCAAAGGGAAACGTACGGGAGTTACGGGCCCTGCCGCTGGGGCCAGCCTCTGCCAGCGACTCTGCCCCTGGGTGAGGAGGGCGCCCAGGCCAGCAGCGGGGGGCACTGGAGGGGGCAGCAGCTGCGCAGTGAGCTCAGCACAGGGCTGAACCGGCTCGGGGCGGGACCCATGCCCCGTGCCCGTCTCTGCTGGAGCGAGGTGCCAGGGCCCTTGGGCACATGGCTCAGAACCCAGGCACTTGGGGCAGATTCACCCCCGTGAGTGCACGACCGTTGTCTGCAGCCCAACAGGGATGGTCCCCCCCCCATCCCCGCCCCCTTCCCCCGCCCGTCCCCGGTCTCTGCTGCCAGCCGAGGTGCCACTTACCCACGTACTCCGGCGTGCCCAGAATCTCGCGCACCTCCCGCACGGCGTCCACCCGGCGCGACAGCCCGAAGTCCACAATGCGGATGTCGCCCAGGGGACTGCTGCTGGTCAGGAGGATGTTCTGGGGCTGCGGGGCAGGGGCAGGGTGTGAGCCGAGGGCAGGGGCCCTGGTGCCGGGGCAAGGGGAGGCTGCTGGGAGCGCTGGGGGAACCAGCCCTTTCCAAGCTTGTGTCCATCCGACCGCCCTCCCGGGCGCCCCCAGCAAGGCGGGTGCCAGACCCACCTCGGGCAGGAACAGCCGCCCTCCCCCGCCCGGCCTCGCCGGTACCTTCAGGTCCAGGTGGACGACATTGTTCTGGTGCAGGTAGGCGACGCCACGCAGGATCTGCCGCACCAGCCGGATCACGTCCCGCTCGGTGAAGGCCTCGTCCTGCTCCGCCACGCACTGCTGGAAGATCTCCCCGCCGGCCGCGCTGGTGGGGGGGACGGCAGGTGAGGGGGGGACAGAGCCCTGCCGGCAAATGCTCCCGCCAGCACCTGCATGTGCTAGCCCGCCCCCCAGCGCACGCTAGCCCGCCCCCCAGCGCACGCTAGCCCGCCCCTTTTCCCCACTGCAGGCACAGCTCTGGCACCTGGTTCCCAGCCTCCCCCTCCACCCCTGGTGCTAAGCACTCGGCCCCGCTCCCCTCCAGTGCTGGGAGTCGAACCCAGGCGTCCTGACTCTGCTCGTTTCACAAATGGCAGGCGGGCGGGGACCCCTCGGGGAAGGGCTCCATCCCCATTCCCTGCGTCAGCACAGCTCACCCCCAGGCCCCGTACCCCAGCCCCCTCCTGCCGGGATCCCAGGAGATGGCTCTTGGCAGCTCACTCTCCTGGCCCAGCCGCCGGGGCCAACACCCAGCCTGCTACTCGCTGGTTATGTCCCCGCAGCAGCAGCCCCAGCGCCCAGAGGGCAGGGCCGTGCACCCAGCCTGGCAAGGCCCTGCCTGCCCCAGCGCCCGGCTCCAGGCCCAGCCGCAGGGAGCACGGCACTGTCCCCATGGAGCTGCTCGTTCCCACGCTGCTGACCCTAAGGTGCCCCCAAACAGCCAGGATGCCGCATGTTCCTGGGCGCCCGCCGGGCTGGTTCCTCGCCCGGCGTGTCTCTGCAGCTCTGCGCAGGACACCCTCCAGCCTGTGCCAGTGATTAACCAGGAACTGCCGGGGCCGTTTCCCTGCCAACTGGCCCGCAGGGCTGTTCCCAGCCTCCTGGCAAGGGGTCACAGTGCCAGGCAGGCCCAGGCTGGGAGGGAACCAGGGGTTGGCCTCCAGGAACTGCGAGAGCCAGAAACCTCCCTGGGGAGCCTGCACCCATGGGACCAGTGAGGGCAGGAAGGGTTGGATACGGCTTCAGAGCAGGCCCCAGTCTAGGTGCCCCAGTGGGATGGGTGGGTCTTTGCCCATCCCCGGCCCTGCCACCCCAGGATCCTCTTCCCAGACTTCCCCTTTGGAGTCCAGCGATGTGCATCGTGGCAGCTAACCCCAGCGCAGGCTGGCTGGCCCTTTAAAGGGAGCTGCTGGCTGCTGGCCCCAGCTGGCTGGGATCAGAGGGGTGATGGCCCTGGAGGAGCTGAGACCTCAGGTTGAGTAGAGGAACCAAGGCGAGCAGCTGGCCCTGGCCCCGGCCCCGGCCCCGAGTGAGGGGCTGCAGCAGGTTGCTGGGGGCTCCGGGAAGGTGCCTGGGACGCGGGGCTCTAGTCCGGAGGCAGGGAGGTAACTCTGAGGGGACTGGCCTGAAGGGAGCCCAAGTGGGGTGAAAGCAGCCTTGGTTTGTTACCCTGGAAGGGGACTGAATTCTGAGGGAGTCATATGGAGGGCTGAGCCCACGAGACCGGGAGTGCCTGCCATGCCACGCTCAGCCACGCGGGAGGCTAGCAGGTAGCCACGCGCTGTGGCCCCCGCCGGAAGCCAGGAAGGGAGGGGGCAGATCGTGGCTTTCCGGGGCTGCAGGGCGCTGCCCCTGGTGCCCTGGCTTTGTGCGCTTGGCGCACCTGAGCAGAGGGGTGAGGTAGCAGCTGGCCCAGGCAGGGAGCCGTGGGTTCTGTGACTGCAGGAACTGGGGCCAGTCCCCAGTGTGGGCAAGGCCACGGAGGGGTCACTCCAGGCTGAGCTGCTCCTCAAATCTGGGGGGACTCTCTAGGGGACATCAGAGGCAGCAAGGCCCAGTGGTGAGGGCCCTGGACTGGGTGTCCGAACACCTAGGTTCTACTCCTGACTTGCCATGGGACCTTGGGCCTGTCCCTTCCCTTCTCTGGTCCCCTCCCACCCTGGTCTTGCCTAGTCAGCTTGAAACCTGTAGGGCAGGGACTGCGCTAGGCTCTGCATTGCGCACTGGGGGCCCTGATCTCGGATGTGGCTTGTCAGCCCCACTGCAGGAGCGGAGAGAGCGTGCGGACGGGCAGGTTTGCTTAGCTCACCTCATGCTGTGGTTACAGCGAGAGCAGATCACAGCCCCGTTCTGGGTGCAGAAAACACAGACAAAACCACTGGCTGCTTCTGGGAACTCGAGGCCGAGCTACCACCGCGTTTCAGAGACTGCCACCCACGCACCTTTCCCAGCGGCCGCACAGCGTGCCGGCAGCGGGCAGGGGCCAGCTGGGGAGCAGAATTCATCCGCCTTTCCAGTGGGCCCAAGACCCCTAGGGCTAGCGAGGCACTTTCAGAAAATCCCCAGAGCAGCTGCAAGCTTCTGTTTCCACCTGCGTGCCCAGCGGGGAGGGGTGCAGTTGCCAGGAAGGCCCAGGTCTCACGGGGTCCCCCAGCCACCTGGGCAGGTGCCTGCTGCCAGCACCACGTCAAGGGCTGTGTAATTAGCTGGTGTTTACACTGGCGCAAGGGGCCCAGGGTAGCATCCATGCCCAACACGCTCGTTACCCGGATGCCCAGCCTGCCTCACGTGCCCATGGCATCGTGCCGGCAACAGCCAGCCCCAGCCCAGCCCCTCCTGCTTGTTCCAGGACCAGTGAGGGGGGTACTTAGGAGGGTCCCAGCACCTCAGGGTCACCGGTTCCGACCCGGCCTGAGTGAGGAATGCCCCCTAGGCCTTGCTCCATCCAGTCCCTACAGGGACATGAAGGTCGAGCTCTCCCTCCTCCCTAGGAGGGTGCTCCCCAGGCAGGCTGGGTTGGCACCCCTCCACACACCGCCCCGACCCACCAGCCTCTGGAGGGCAGAGCATGGGACCGTCCAGAGGCCCTGCCAGTAGCAAGAGCTCCTTTCCCACTGCAGGGGGCTGCCGGACCCATAGAACCAGCCCTCCCCCACCAACAGCACAGGGTCCCCCTTGCTCCGTTCCACCCCATGATCAGCCCCACCGTCCCCTCAGCCCTGCGGTGTGTCACTCCTGTCTCCTGCCACTCCCGTCCCTACGTCACTGTCCCGGCACCACCTGGGTCTCTTTCCCGGTAAGTGAGCCTGGCCTGGTTCGTGCAGAGGCCCCAGACAGGAAGCCACGCTCTCTAGGGACCCAGCCAGGGCCCTGTGGTGGAGCCGTGCGGGCAGGATGCGGCCCCGAGATCAGCAGCTGCCCGGAAAGAGAGCTGAGAAACAGGGCTGAGGCTGTTTCTCAGACACGCTCTGGTTAAGTCACTTCCTGCTGAGCTCAGCCCCAGCCATGCAGCCAGCCGAGGCAGCAGGTTTCAAGCACAGGTGCCAGGCAGGGCAGGGAGCTGGTGCCCTGACACGGGCCCCACCGCAGCCTGTAGGTACCCCCTGTCCGCACTCTATGGACAGGCTGTTCTAGGACCCTGGGAAGCACGTTCTAGCCACAGGAGGCTGCAGGGCCCTGATCAGAGACACCTCCCTGCAGCACCAAGGAGAATCCTCGAATCTCTGGGTGGGAAGGGACCTCAGGAGGTCACCTAGTCCAACCCCCTGCTCGAAGCAGGACTGATCCCCACTAAATCATCCCAGCCAGGGCTTTGTTAAGCCTGACCTTAAAAACCCCAAAGGAAGGAGATTCCACCACCTCCCTAGGGAACCCATGCCAGCGCTTCTCCACCCTCCTAGTGAAAAAGTTTTTCCTAATATCCAACCTAAACCTCCCCCACTGCAACTTGAGACCATGCCCCGCTCTGTAGAGGGTCCTGCCCCCGCCGACCCCACTGGCTGAACCAGGGAATGGGCCCAGCGGGCAGCCTTCGCGATGCAGAGCCAGGGGCGCGTACGGAAGGGCTGGGGCCGTGAGACCAGCAAAGAGGTGAGGCAGCGTGGGGCCCCGGCTGGGCTCAGCGTGGGGCCGAGGCGTGAGGGGCAGGGGGCCCTGTCTGCCCAGGCCCATGGCGGCGAGGAGCCCCGACCCGAGCCGCCGTCCGGCACTCACCACTCCAGCACCAGCACGATCTCGGCGGGCGTCTCGTAGACTTCGTGCAGATCCACCACGTGGGGGCTGCGGGCGGCCAGCTCCAGCACGGCGATCTCGTTGATGATGTCGAGCCGGCAGTCCTCGCCCTTGCGCCTCTTCCGCAGGAACTTGGCTGCGAACTCCTGGCCCGTGGCCTTCTCCAGGCACTTCTTCACCACCGCGAACTTGCCCCTGCGGAGAGGAGCCATCAGGGAACTGAGCAGGGGCTGGCCCCGGCCCTCCATCACCACGCCCCCTCCCCACGCTGCGCGGCCCCCCTGCCCTCCCTCCCCATCTCTTCGCAGCCAGCCCCCGCCCCGGCGAGCCCCTGAGCTGTGAGAGTCACCACAAGGTGCAGCTTCCGCGACTCAGGGACCAGCCCTGGGCCCCCAGCCCTGGGCCCAACCCCCTGCCCGTCCCCCACAGGCTGTAGTGCCCACGGTCCTCTCCCCCATGGGGGTACACCCCCCTGCCCCAGCCTGTGACCGAGCAGCCCCCTTTGTGCAAATGCCCCAGCCCCTGCTTCCCGCAGGAAGCTGGGGGCACAGAGGTGAAGGAGCAGCCAGGCTGGGGGTGCTGGCTCGAAGGGTTTAAGTGGCACTCGGGCCAGTGAAGGAGCCTTCAGCCTCCCCTGCTATGGCCTGCACCCACCGGCGGTGCCAGGCCCAGGGCGGGCGCTGACAGGGAGGCCCGGCGGGGGGAGCATACAGGGGCCTGGGTCAGAGGGAGGGCGGAGATGGCTCTACTCAGTGCTGAGAAGGGGGTGCACAGGCCTCCCCAGCGTCATGCACCCCGACTGCCAACCCGGCCCCCAGCACTGCAGAGTCCCTACAGCTCCCCTGTGGCCCCCTGAGCAGGGGTACGGCCCGGTATCCCCATTATCCACAGCTGCGTTCTGGGGCTGGAGAGTGACAGCCTGGCTGGGGACCTCTGGGACCTGCGGTATCCACAGGGCCCCCTCCCTGTGGGGGAGTGCGACTTGCAGCTTAGCTCCCCCAGGGCCAGCCCCAGAGCCACTCAGACGCCCCCATCCCCCTGCCAGGGGAGCGCCCTGCAGATTTGCACCCGGGGGGAAGAAGCCACCAAGCAGGGGCAGGGGTAGCTCCCGCCCTGCAGGCAGAAGGGTCACGCGGGGCAGGGAGGAGCCAGGATCCCGGGATCTCACCGTGTAAACAGAGAGGTTCCCTGCTGCCGTTTCCAGGAACCCCTCGCCTAAGGGGAACCACGTGTCCCAGGCACCAGACTCCGCTCCTCAGCGAGCGGCAGCTGGGGGCACCCCAGAACCCCAGCACACAGGCCCATTTGCACTGTGGAGACCCTGGGGCAGCAGCCAGCAGGAGCTCAGAGACCTGCCAGCACTTCCCCCACAGGCTGCTTCATGCCATACACGTGGGTCCCAACCGACCCACACGGCTCCAGCCACAACCAGACAGCGGCAGCCCCTCCTGCGAGCCAGAGGAGCCGAGCACTCACCCTGCACAGGATCGCAGCCACCTCACCCTGGCCCCCCAGCTCTGGCTCCAACCACCCCATAAGCCCAAGCAGAACCCGGCTTCCAGGCGAAGTCCCGGCCCAGCCCTACCAAAACTGCCCCTTGGCTACGAGAGAGAGAGAGACACGGCTTTCCTGGCTGGCACAGGCCACCCCATCCTGGCACGAAGCAGCCCTTCACCCTTGCCAGCCGGCCCCACGCTGTGCCGTGCCATGCCAGGAAACCGTGCATCAGCCAGCACCTTGGCCCTGGCACAGCCTGAGTCTCTCCCTGTCTCGCGTCATTGGCCCCGAAGAAAAGCGGGAGGAAGCCAGAGCAAATTGCTCCCAATTAGCCGGAGCCATCCAGGGACCTAGCCCTTGTCCCCGGGCGTCAATCGGCGCGTCACAGGCCAGGCCACCCAGCCAGGCCCGACCTGCCACACGCAGTGTCTGGGGCCTCTCCTAGCAAGGCCCTTTTGGGGAGTTGGCCCCTCAGGCAGGCCGCCCATCCCCTGTCCCTGGGCTCCAGAGACAAGTGGCCTGGGTGAGGCTAGCGAGAGATGACAGACCCCTCGCCCAGCTGCTCCCCCGGCTGCACCATTGGACAGAACTGGAGAGCTGGCTCATGCCCAGCCCCAAGCCGCTCGGCTGTTCTCAGGGCCACCTCTGGCGACAGCCGCTCGTCCCCAGAACGTTTGGAAATGGCACCCTCCCCCCCCCCCACAGCTCTGCCAGGGCCCCTCAGTCCTGCCCGCGGCCCCCTGCCAGCCCAGCCCTGGGCTCCCCCCGCCACAGCTCTGCCAGGGCCCCTCAGTCCTGCCCGCGGCCCCCTGCCAGCCCAGCCCTGGTGCCCTTTGCTCACACCCCAGCTCGGTCCCCGGGGGAGCCCCCCTTTGGGAGCTGGCTCTCCACTGGCAGCACGCAACCTGCCCTGGGCCCAGGGCTCTCCAGGGACCACTGGGGCATGGGCTAGTCCAATTCACTGGTCAGCTGGCCCCAGCCACTATGGCACCTGGCAGGACCATGGCAGGACTCCCCTCTCTGAGCCGGGGCTCCCTGCGGGTCACTTAACCCCCTGCGGCAGGCATGGGCAGCAGCAGCTCTGCACCCTCCTGGGCTGGGCCAAGCAGTTGGGGGGGAAGGGGGGGCCCTTCCTCCAGGATGAACCCTCCAGTTTATTGCCATGCAGCCTGGGGACCCTGGGGTAAGCTGGGAGCCCCTGGCCTCCTTGGTCAGGTGCACAGAGAAGTGGGGCAGGAGCAGCGACTGGAATTCCAGCCCAGGGGGATGCCCTTTGCCTCCCGCCCAGCAGCCCCAGAGCCCTTTGCTCCAGCCACCACCCAGCTAGAGGAGCTCCCTTCCCAGGAGCTCGGCCAGCCGTCTCCACCGTGTGCCCAGCCTGGGCTGACCTAGGATTCATGGCCTCCCGTCCCCAGGAGCCTGTTCATTGCCCCTGAGCGAGCGGAAATTGGACACGAGTGCGTCGCGCTGCAGGAACGTTTCATGCTGCAGCGGGTCAGCATCTCGCTCTCTCCCTGCAGCACGAGGAGTTGACACCCCCCACCCCAACTGCTCCTCACTGGACCCCACGGCCAGGGCAGCTGAAGGAGACCGCAGCCCCTACTCTGCAGACCCACACTGTGGGGCTCGTCTCCAGGGTGTCCTGTGCTAAGCTGGGGCAGATGAGACAGGCTCCGCCTGGAGCCACTTCTCCTCCTGCAGGAAATGAGCCACCTGCTTCCATGGCTTGTGCTCCCAAAGCCAGAGGGGCAGCTGCAGCCAGCGAGCTCCTGAGGATGATGCAGGGAGCAGGCCAGGGGCTAGGTGCCCGAAAGGAGCCCCCCGGTTCTGCTTCCCTCTATGCCCAGGAAATGCAGGGACCAGCAAGCTCCCAGCTCTGTGGTCAGCCGGACTCCTGGGTGGGTCCTCGAAGTGTTGCTCAGATCAGACAGTGCCAGGGGATGGGCATGGGGGCTGTGCAGCCCAGCAGGGCCCAGCTGCTTTGAACCCAGCACTCTGGGCTCACAGGTGCCACCCAATGGCATCTGGGCCCAACCACGTGGGCGGGGGCAGGTGTTTCCCCATCAGACTGGATTTGGTTCATCTTGGCTCCTCCTTATGCACCTCCCAGGCCAGCCTGATGTGCCGACCCCACTCGAGAGAGACCCAGAGCAGGAATGGCTGGGGGGGTGGGAGAGGGGGCTGTCGGTCAAGGTTGTGGGGCACCAGAAGAGCTTGTGTCTAGGGAGCCCGGGTGAGTAGCAGGGGCTGCAGGGCGGGCTAGAGGGGCACCAGCAGAGCTGCTGCAGGAGGCTTGCCCAGGACTGGGCCTGGCTCCAGCCATGGGCAGTTTGTCTCTCACTTTCACAAGCTCTGAACTTCATGCTTGAATTCTTCTTTAAAAAAAAGCATAAGGAGAGCAGGCGCCACTCCCTGAGGGGCGGGGAGGGGCTACACAGCCACCACTAGGGGTCTCTCGGCTCTTCCCGGCGGTACAAGGACTGTGCACTGGGCTGGACACCAGAGACCTGGGTTCAGTTCCCATCTTTGCCACAGACTCCCCGTGTGACCTTGGCTGCGTCCCTTCATCTCTCTGGGCCTCAGTCCCCAGCAGTGGGATGGAGATGATTGTTCCCTTCCTCGCAGGGAGGCTGGGGGGACACAATCCACCAGTGACTGTGAGGCTCAGACACTGGGTTGGGGCAGCTGGGCCTATCTCCTGGCTCTGCCAGAAACAGGGCCACACTGGCCCCTAGGCCACAGGCACAGACGGAAAGGAGGCCCTGCGGGCTGCTCCCAGGGTGACGTTCTCAGGGTCGGAAGGTGGGGGCCAGCCTCTGTGCTACCTTCCCCTTGCTGAGGGCAGGCAGCAGCCAGTGTGGACTAGGGCAAGAGGCGGCTGGCACAATGGCTAAGACAGGGTGAGATGCCAAGTCCTCGCCCAGGCCGCGAGGGCATCAGGCTCCGGCTCAGAAATAGCCTCCGCCACAAGAACCCAGCTGCAGCCGTCTGTCCTGGGCAGACTGTGCTGCTAAAGATAGCCAGGGTGGGTACCAGCTCCGGCCTCAGCCCTGGGGAATCCAGGGCTGCTTTCAGAGTGCCAGCAGCCTGCTAAACACAGAGAGCTCCCCCATGCCGGTGGCTGCTCGTGCTACGCCTAGGGCACGCCACCTGCCCAGCACCCAGTGACTCCGCTCTGTGCAGAGCCGCACGCCACAGGGAGGTTGGTCTCCTCTTGGCTAGCAGGAACTCAGCAGGTAGCAAGGGACTTGCTCTAAGCAAGAAACCGCACCGCACTCGGCTTCCGACAGTCTGCAGAGCACTGAAATGCTGGGGGCCTCCCTGCAACCAGCTCCCCCCGCCTGACACCGGGCAGCTACAGCCAAACAGCACTTCAGCGGCGGGAAAACCAGCGTTTGACAAAGCCAGGCGCCGGGGGAAGGTCTCAGAGAGATGGGGGTGCAGGGCTCTCTGCCCCGTGGGGGGGGGGGGGGGGAGGGACAGTTACAGGCTCTCTGCCTGGGGGAGGCGGGGGAGGGTTACAGGCTCTCTGACCAGCGGAGGGCTCTCTGCCCCGTGGGGGGGGGGGGGGGGGGAGGGACAGTTACAGGCTCTCTGCCGGGGGGGGGTTACAGGCTCTCTGCCCCCGTGTGTGGCTGCGGTTTGTGTGACAAGAGATTCTTCCTTCACCAGAAGCTGCTGTATTTCCTTCCCCTCCCCCAGACGCCGCAGCCCGACCTGGGCACTTTCGGTTGGTGCCAGCGAAGTGAGGAGATGGGCTAGGAAAGGCCCTTTCCATGCCCCCCACGGGTTATTTCAGGCCCCAGAGGGGAAGGGGATCCCAGTGGCATCCCTCCACCCCCCAGTCCATGCTGTGCCCGGCTCCCTGCTGCAAGCCTGGCTCAGGGGTCAGCTGAGGACACTGGCGGTGCCTGCAAGGAGGCCTCCCCACCCCTGCTCCAGGCGGCAGAGTGAGCGACAAACCCCAAGGGCCTGGCGGCATCTGGCGATTCCACCACCTCCTCTCCCGGCCCCGGCTCTCAGCCAAGAGCTGCTGCCACAACCTGCAGGGCCCCGGGCTCAGGGCTTGTCCCCTGCCTCAGTGGCCCTGGGCTGTGACGCCCACGGGGGCAGCTTTGTTCAGTGCTCCCCGCATGTGGGCACCAGCGGTGCGGCCCCAAGCGAGGCCACACACATCGCGCCCCCCCGGGGGCTTGGAGCCTGCTCCCAACTTCCACCGCGCACTCGCGGCCCCCACCGCGGGCGCTCGCAGCCGGGGGGCGAGGCCCCAAAACAGCGCTTGGCCTACGCTTCCCCAGGCCGAGACATCCGGGCCATTCACACACACACACAGCGAGACACACACAGCGACACCCGGGCCATTCACACACACAGTGACACACACCCACAGTGACACCCGGGCCATTCACATACACACAGCGAGACACACACAGCGACACCCGGGCCATTCAGACACACAGTGACACACACACACAGCGACACCCGGGCCATTCACACACACAGTGACACACACCCACAGCGACACCCGGGCCATTCACACACACACAGCGACACCCGGGCCATTCACACACACAGTGACACACACCCACAGCGACACCCGGGCCATTCACACACACACAGCGACACCCGGGCCATTCACACACACACAGCGACACACACACACAGCGACACCCGGGCCATTCACACACACAGCGACACCCGGGCCATTCACACACACAGCGACACCTGGGCCATTCACACACACAGCGACACACACACACCCACAGCAACACCCGGGCCATTCACACACCCACAGTGACACCCGGCCATTCACACACACACAGCGACACCCGGGCCATTCACACACACACAGCGACACCCGGCCATTCACACACACACAGCGACACCGGGCCAGTCACACACACACAGCGACACACACACACACACAGCGACACCCGGGCCATTCACACACACAGCGACACACACACACCCACAGCAACACCCGGGCCATTCACACACCCACAGCGACACACGGCCATTCACACACACACAGCGACACACGGCCATTCACACACACACACGACACACACACACACACACAGTGACACCCGCCATTCACACACACATACACACACCCACAGCGACACCCGCCATTCACACACACACACGACACCGGCCATTCACACACACACAGCGACACCGGGCCATTCACACACACACAGCGACACACACACACCCACAGCGACACCCGGGCCATTCACACACACACAGCGACACCGGGCCATTCACACACACACAGCGCCACACACACACACACACTGACACCCGGGCCATTCACACACAGCAACACACATCCCCCCGCCCCCCAACTAATTCACACACTGTCAAGCACAAGCTGAGCGGTCACACACACACACACATTCACACACTGACACAAACACGCCCCCCCCCCGCACCTGCCAGACTCAGCCCCCCTCTCCTTGCTGCGGGCCAGTGACTGAGGGGCGAGCGGGTCCCTAGTCTGGGGGCACCACGGGGGACCCCTCCAGCCCCCCGCTCACCTGCCCAGCTCCCGGCCCAGCAGCGTGTAGCTGTCGGCGAAGCGCTCCGTGCGGATGCGGGTCTGGGTGTGGGCGGCCATGCCCTGGCGGCTCATGCTGGACGGGGCGCCCAGGGGACGCTGCCGAGACGCTCGGGTCCCGGTGCTGGCCCCGTCCCGGGCGAGGGGGAAGCGGCTCTGGACGGCTCGGTCCCGAGGCCGGGGCCAGCTCTGGTGTGCAGCGAAGTCTGGCTCGGCAGGGCCCGGGGGGGGCCGCTCAGCCCCGTCGGCGTCTCCTCCTCCCGGGGGCGGCTCCAGGCCCGGTCCCTCCCCCTGCCTCTGCGGCGGCGGCTCGCTGGGGATGGGGGGGTCCGTGCTGCAGACAGCGCGTGGGACGAGAGACCCCCCAGCCACGGGGACACACCTGGGGACCCTGGACGTGGGCACCCAGGTGAGGCCTCCTTGGGGAGGGGCAGCTCTGCGCCCCCTCCTGGGCTGGGGAGCAAAGGGGGGGGGGGTGCTGCTTTGGCCCCAGGGAGCTGGGGGCAGCCCCGGTAGTAACAGTTCTCAGCACTGGCCAGAGGCAGAAGCATCCCCCATTACCCGCCCCCCACACCTGCCCCTGCCCCCAGCTCACTCCCCAACCCAGGACCGGGTATCTGCCTCCCTACAAAACAGAAACAGGCCTGAAGGCCGTAGGCAGGAGCAGCCCTACAGTAACAAACCCTTGTTTGTTAGGTGTATTATATTCAACCCTACAATAACAAACCCTTGTTATTTAGTATGTACTACGGTAACAGGCCCCGGCCCCACTAGCGTCAGGCATTGCACAGGCTCCTGGGACACTCACCGTCTAGCATGCCAGAGGAATGACAAAGCCAGAGGTAAGAAGGGAGGTTTCACAGACATTCCTCCAGAGAGGAATTCTGGTGCCCTCAGCAGCATCCAAACAGACCGTGAACAAGCACCAGGGCCCTCTTCACCATCTCTTCCAGGACAAGCTCCATAGACTCCCTCTCCTGTGTGCTCTAATGGAGCTTGGGGACAGGGAGCGGTTGGTGCACAGGTGGGACAAGGTTTGCATTGGGTTCTCCCCCACCCCACCCCCTGCAGCACTGCCCATGTGTTTCTGGCTCCACGATCCTGGTGCTTAATGAGCTGCCGCAGAGAACCCCCATGAGGCAAGTGTGCAAAGCCCTGACAGACTGCAGGGGTCTGGAGCAGGTCCTCATGGGACAGCTGCCACTGCATTTCAACCGAGGCTGGCCACCCGCCCTACACCCAGGGTGAATTTCACCCCGTGTGCTCAGAATTCCTCCCCAGTTACTAATCCATAAGGAAACTGGCACCTGACACCACACGTGGGAACCCCTGTAGATCACAGTTAATTACAGGACGTGGGGACGTCATCCCAATTATAATTATAACACTCTGTCACTGCCTGGGATTGCTCCAGACAGAGCTGTGAGGGAGAAGGATGCTTCTGAGCTGCGATGTAACAGAGGAAGTGACTCCGAGTGGGGGCTGGGTGGGTGGAGCAGCACCAGTGAGAGACACCCTCACCCCCTGCAATCGACCAGCGCTGCAAACAGGCACTGGGGCAGCAGCATCGCAGGATCCGGCATCCAGCACTGGGATCTCTGGGCTCTTTCATGACGACAGCTCAGCTGCAGGGGGGCCTGGTTATGAGACGAACGTGTGGCTGGGGAAGGCGCAGAGAAGAGCTACGAAATGACTCAAGGGGTTTGGAGGAAGCGAGAGACTCACAGAGCTCAAGCTGGTTAGCGTCCCAGAGAGACGACTGAGCGGGGATTCGAGCACGGCATGTTTCACGGGGAGAAAATTCCCGGTGCTAACAGGCTTTTTACTCGAACAGGGAAAGGCAGAACAGGACCCAGCGGCTGGAAGCTGAAGCCAGACGAATTCCAGTTAGAAATAAGGCAGCGGTTTGTAACCGGGCGGGTGACTGACCACTGGAACAAGCTCCTCAGGGCACTGGTGGTTCCCCATCTCCTGGGGTCTGCAGACCCAGACTGGTTCCTTTCTGGGTGACGCTTTAGTCAGACCCCAGCTCTTGGGCTTAGGACGGGGGAGCTGGGGGATTCTCTGGCCTGTGCCATGCAGGAGGCCAGACTAGACAATCTAGCGGTCCCCCCTGCCCTTAAAATCCAGGAATGTATTAACTGCAGTGCTACGGATGGGACCAGCTCCAGCCAGACCCTGAATCCTAGAATCTCAGGGTGGGAAGGGACCTCAGGAGTCATCTAGTCCAAGCCCCTGCTCAAAACAGGACCAATCCCCAATTTTTGCCCCAGATCCCTAAATGGCCCCCTCAAGGGTTGAACTCACAACCCTGGGTTTAGCAGGCCAATGCTCAAACCACTGAGCTATCCCTCCCCCAATTGCTTTGCTCTGATGTCATTCTGCAAGGCACCATCTCAGCCACTGTCATTGTGGCTTCAGCCAATCTGCCGCAGATGTGACCCCATTCAGAGAGGCCCTGGTCAGGCCCAGCTGGGATCCACCTGGCCTTCCTGCTGCTTAGAAGCCTGCGGAGTAACTACCCAATTCCCAGGGAGAGTGATAGGGCATCTCGTGGGCCCGTCTGTCTGGTGCCCACGGTGAGAGCTCTGCATGCCAGCCCTGTGCCCTCCTCCAGCCCCAGCCAAGCATTGCTGGAAGGGAAGCCCGGACAGGAGTGTACAGGGTCAGCACTGCCCGCAGGCTGCAAAGAGGAGCTGGCCAGTGCAGAGTGAGGCCTAGCAGAAGGATCTGGATCCAGAGAGGCCACGCCAAGCGCCAGTGGGCAAGGCAAGGGGCCGAGTTTAGTCTGGCTCCTCTTTGGAGCATCCCCCACCACAATCCCACCGGCTGCCTCCAGTTCTCCAGGTCCCACCCGTTGGCTTCCCTGAGTCAAGTTATCAGAGCAAAGTGCAGCCACATGGTCTAACTGTCCCCAGCGAGGCTCTGCCCAGCTCCAGCCACAGCACACCCCGCTGGGGACAGGCTGAGCTCCCTCGGACCTGGCTGGGCCCTGCCCACCTGCTCTCAGCACCGACGCTGCTGCTTAGCACCTCAGCAAAGCCACTGGGGCTGGGGAAGTTACCATCTGAGCTTCTGCCTCCCAGTGCCAGACCTGCCAGGGGATGGTTGGCAGGAATCAGAGGGGCTGGTTCTCAGGCTGTGACTGGCTGCAATGCCTTGGAGAGGAGCAAGGAGCCAACCAGAGGTGCAGGTGGAGAATCACCCTGGCATCTCTAGGACACCTGTCTCTCCAAGGGCTTTGCTACCATGCACAGCACCCATCTTCTCCGTCAATGGAATGCTCCCACCTCTGGGGCACGACATGGCCGCTGCTAGGGGGGCAGGACACTGTGAAGAGGGGCTCCCCATGTTCACCTGCCACAGTGAGGAGGGATCATGGGAGAGGCATTGTGCTGGTGCCTGATGGATGGCCCCGGAGATGGGAACATTGTCCCCCCAGCAGGGAGGGCACAAGCCTTGCCCCACCACACTATGGGCTATGGCCCAGCCCCACAGGGCCCTGCCTATCACCAGCTCCCTACCAGCCACTCCCGGCTTCCAGTGCCAAATCTTGATCAGTGACTGATAGTGGTGGATGCAGCTTAGGGTTCTGCAAGCTTCCCACCCCCAGCTCTGCTGGTTGTCCCCCAGTCCCAACCCACAGCCCCCCGCTGTCCCAGTCTGGGGTTGCCCTAAGCCAATTGCCCGTCAGGCTGAGCTGTGGGGTGGTTTTGTGATGTGGACAGGTATCCACCAGGAACCAATGGAGCCAGATCATCCCATTTCAGGAACACTCTGGGTTTACTCTGTCCCCATGCATCCTGAGAGCAGCCCCAGGGGGAGGGGTGGGAGCCAGCAACAGAGCTGTCTCTCGAGGCACGGATCAGGGATGGTGATAAACCTGGTGTCACTGAGCAGCTGTGGGCCTGGAGCAGCTAGCAGGGGCCGTGACACCATGGTGATGGGCAGGAGCATGAGGGACAGCCAGCAGCCTTGGGATCACTACCCCAGTGTCTCCCCGTGCCCCGCACACTTGCTGGCATCGCTGCTCAGTACAATTCTCCTGCAGTTCTGTGGTGAGTGGCTGCTGCTGCAGACGGAGCTGCCTGTCTGGACTCGTTTGCGACGAGGGAAGGGAACAATACAGCCCCACGGGCTTGTTTCACATATGGCGCAGTGCTCCAGCCCCCCCGCCCCCTTTCCCACTGGCATATGGCGCTGGGCCATGCAGGGAACTTGCTGCCAGGCTGCGAGGCCCAGCTTCCATTGGGTCTGAGCTCCCATCAAGAGATACCAAGCGCATTCCAGCTGGGGACCCCCTGCCCAGCTGGTAGGAGCCACGGCCATGGAGAGGACAGTCCCTGTGCAGCAGGGAGAGGGAAGGGAATGGGCAGCTCAGCAGGCCCCTGCCAACCCCAGAGTCATGGTCCTGTCCAGCTGCGAAGGAAAAGGGGGGAGTCTCTGCCCTGGACTAGCCGTGGAGCCTCGGATAGCAGCCACGGGGCAGAGTCATGGCCTGGGGCCTGGCAGGGGGATAAAGCTCCATAAAGAATCTGGCTCTGTGAGGTCAGCGCCAAATGGGGAAACAAATGCTCCCTCGTCCCCTAGAAACATCTGGACTGGAGGCTGACAGCCAGCCAAGGGGCCTGCACTGGGGCCAGGGATCTGGTGGCTGGGATCTGCTCTGGATCACTTAGAAGGGTGGGGACCCGGTAATCAGGGCCCAGCACCGCCGTGGGGTTCCTCAGCTCATGTTGGGGGTGATTAGGCAGTGGGTTTAATGACAGTTAACTGGGAACTGGAGGAGTTTAGCTCTGCTCTCCGATGGGGCTCGTTAAAGGGTTTATTACATGCTGCTTGATGACTTCATTGACCTGGGGTAAGTGATGCACTGAGGGGTCCCCTGCCGCGGCCGGAACATGGGCCCTCACCCTCCCAGGAGGGTCGGCCCGGGCTGTGTTCATGCAGTCGCTCCCTCTGCCACATAATGCAGCCGTGTCTCATGTAGCCACCCCTTGGAGCCCATCCTGGCCCACCTGTGAGCAATGACCTGGCCAGGGGGCCACTTGGCAGCTCATTGGCTAATGAGGACTTGGGGCTGGCAAAGGCTGCCAGGTGGCGGCCGAAGGAGGGGCTCACAAGGATAAGAGCTCTGGGGACGTTAGCAGGAGCTGCTGGCTGGTGAAGAGAAGTGAGTACAAAGGGGCACGGACACGGACACGGACACAAGCTGCTTGAGGACTAGAGAGGGCCTGATGTG